TGCCTCTGCCATTCTGGAACTTCTCACCTTTCTTTGACCAACTGTTATACAAACTTTTGGCACCTGAATTTCATATGTCTTTCCTCTCTTCAATTCTAAGCAAAACCCAAAGCCAAAATAAATGCTCTGGGAAGGCACACAGAGACCCACAAAGTAGAAGGCAATGAATCAGGGCAGGAACTTGAAACTTCATGATTGGGTATTATTTGTGCTAAATCATTTTGCACTTCCTATAAACTCAGAAATCAAAAAGGAGCCCGGCTGGTGTAGCTCAGTGGTTGAGTATTGGCCCATGGACCAAGAGGTTGCTGGTTCGATTCCCAGTCAGGGCACATGCCCAGGTTGTGGGTCCAATCCCCAATGGGGGGCATGCAGGAGGCAGCCCTTCAATGTTCTCTCCAATTGATGTTTCTATCTCTCTCTCCCTTTCCCTTCCTCTCTCTCTAAAATTAATAAAGAAAAAAAAATTAAAAAAACAAAAAGGCTCCAACACAGTGTCCCTTGCCTAACAAAATTCCTGATATGTGGTTGGTACTAATAACTATTTTACTGAGTAAATTACTTAGTGTTTATTCAGTGTTTAAAGCATCAAAATTCAGTTAACTATAGAATAGAGTTTAAGAAATCTCAAAATAACAATCTCCATCTTTGGCTGTGAATTTAACTTCAAAAAAAATTTTTTTTCTTTATTGATTGGATAGAGAGAGGAAGGGAGAGGGAGAGAGACAGAAACATCGATGAGAGAGAACATCGATTGGCCACCTTCTGCATGCCTCCCACTGGGGATTGGGCCCACAACCTGGGCATGTGCCCTGACCAGGAATCGAACCAGTGACCTCTTGGTGCATGGGTCGACACTCAACAACTGAGCCACACCGGCTGGGCAATTTAACTTTTTTTTTTTTAATTAGTTTTGGAAATACTTTTATAAAACCAGTAAGCTGTCATCAAGTGGTTCTCTCCACTGAGGGAGGGGTAGGAGGTACCTATCAAAATCCTAGAGGCGACATTCTCTAATGTGAAATAGTTTTCTGCCTGGCCAATGTCAGGGCTCCCAGGATGTCCAGTATAAAAGAAAAATGTGGGCTTTGGAGCCTGATGTCAGAAGGAATCCTAACTATTCTAGGTACTAGGGTGTGAGTGGGCATGCTCAATTTCCTCATCCTTGAAATGGAGATGATAATACCTTTTTCTTACCTCCCTCATTCTATCCAAAATAATTCTGAATCCATTACTGTTCATCTCTACTGATAACAGTCTGTGAAACCAGAAAGTCTGTGAGAAGTGAAATATGGAATAACAGATATAGATTTTCACTCCTATCTTGATTAAAAGGAACTGCAGGTTTTAACTATGTCTACACTGACTGGGAGCTTTGTAGAGAGAGGATGCACTCTCATCAGCTAAAAATTACCTTGTTGATTCTGTGCTCTTCTGTAAGGATACAGAATATCACGACTTGGTGGATTCAAAAGGCTCAACTCAGACTGCACTTGACTATGTTCTCTATTATATCTTATAGATCTCTCCTCACAGATACATATACTAAGAGATCAGGACTAATGTTATTCTCTATAAACATTTATGGTTAAAAGATAATAATTTAAATACTTTAGAAAGTAAATATTCTCTGATAAGTGAAATTTTTTTACTGAAGAATCTTAGTCTCTCAGGAAATGTAACCTCTAACCCCAAGGCTTGTGTTGACTCCAAAGCAAGAAAACCATGTTTTTTTCCCCTAAGTACATAGTTACAAAACATGTCTATTATAGGAAATAGTATTAGTTCATAAAATACTCCAGATATTTACTTATGTTGTAAATAAACTCATTCTTTTCTTCTTCCTTTCTTCATTCTCTCCAAATATATGCATCTTTATATCTGTGGGTATATATATGGTCATATGTACACTTCTCCTGTGAAAGCTTTAGTGGTAGAAAAGGTTTATCTTTGCCCCTGTACGTTTTTATGCTAAAGAAGTGACACTAACAGATTCTAATAGTCCTGAACACCGCACAAAACCCCTTTCTTCCAAAAACCCATCCTTTCAGAGCTTCCTAACTGGTCTTCCTGCTCTCATTCCTGCCCCAGTCTCCATCTGTTACTTTTAAAAGTATGCATCAGCCCTGGCCGGTTTGGCTCGGTGGTTAGAGCATTGGCCCATGGACCGAAGAGTGCCGGGTTCAATTCCAGCCAAGGGCATGTACATCAGTTGCAGTTCGGCCCTGGCCCTGGTTGGGGTCTTGCGGGTGGCAACCAATCGATGTGTCTCTCTCACATCAATGTTTTTCTCTCTCTCCCTCCCACTCTGTCTGCAGATAACATGAAAATATCCTCAGGTGAGGATTAAAAAAAAAAAAGTGTGCATCAGATCAGATCACTCCCCTACAGTGAAGCACTCCAATAGCCTCCCAATACCCTAAGATGAAAACCTGAACTTCTTACCTTAACCTGTAAGTCACTTCTGTCTCCCTCTCTGAGCCCATCTCTTCTTCTTCTTCCCCTTGGCCACATGCTCTTCTCTATGTTTCTGGGGCACAAAGTTCATGTCATCACACAATCTTTACACTGATGCTTTCAGGTCTTCACCTGACTGGCTCCTTTTCATCACTCAGGTCTCAGCTTACATGTCAATCCCATAGACAACTTCCTCGACCTGTATTTGACGTCTCCCCAACTCTTTTAGCTAGTTTTATTTTCTTCTTAGCAATTATCATTACCTAGTATTTCTTTCTTTCTTTTTTTTTTTTTTATCCTCACCCGAGGACATTTTTGCATTTATCTTCAGATAGAGCGGGAGGGAGAGAGAGAGAGAGAAACGTCGACGTAAAAGACACATCAACGAGTTGCCACCCACACGACCCCAACCAGGGCCGGGAACAAACTGCAACTGAGGTACGTGCCCTTAGCAGGAACCGAACCCGGGACTCTCTGGTCCACGGGCCGACGCTCTCACCGCTGAGCCACACCGGCAAGGGCCCTAGTATTTCTTTATAGTATCTCTCTCCTTAGAATGTAAGTTCCATGTGGGTAGGACAAGTTCTGTCTTGTTCACTATTTTATGATCATAAGGGCAAGCAAAATCATTCTAAACCAATGTCAATAGGATGTCCCAGGGAACAGAAGGAGGGAAGTGCCATGAACTCAAGAAAAAAATAGCTTGTGTGGTGGTTAGGGAGGGTTAGCAGTGGAAGGCAGGTAACAGACTGACCGCTACTCACTAGTGGTAGCATCAAAATATGTGCACATGGACCCCAGACAGAAGTTCTGCTTAAGAACCACTTCAAGAATGCAGTGAGCAGTCTCCCTGGAAGTGGACTTGAGATAGAGGACCCAGGTCCAAATCCCTTATTCCTATTTCCTACCACAAAGGGAAGTCTGAGTCAGGAGTGAGAGATGGGCCTCCAAAGCCAGTTGGGAAGAATTTCTTCTCTAACGGGACTTAAGTCACTGTCAGTCTCCTTATGGAAAAGTACATTTTCCCACAGATCCTGAAACAAGTAACTAATTGAGCTCTAGGGAACTTCCTTTCTCCCAGTACCTTCAAGCCTAATGTAAGATCTAAATAGATCTACAGGGGTCATCCTTAGATTCTAAAATAAAATTTAAAAAAGGCTACTTAGATATATGCCATGCAGCATTTTTATATAGACACTGAAAATTTAAAAAAAAAAATAAGGCAATTGCTGATCTCTGTTAGAAGCCAGACAATTTATTTTAGAATAGTATGGGATTTTCCCATTACTAAAACACAAACTTGCCAACAACTAAATTTCTGCAAGCCCTTTGCTTCTGCTCCCCCACTTGAATTCATATAGATCCCACTTCAAGGAATGTGGGTGACACAGCATGCACCAAGAGTGGGCAGGTTCCCTTGTTGCTAGGAGATAAAGCCCATCCGGGGGCCCTTGTACTGAAGACTACCTTATCTCTTTTAAACACCTTTGGGTAGCACAGAAGGGAGACAGCCAGAGGGTTCTAGAGGAAGCCAGGCTAAGCCCTGCCCACACAGTTTAGTAGATGTTAACACATAAGATGACTTTCCAAGTGTTTACATGGACCGTTCTAATAATATTGTTGAACTTAAGTGCCTTCATGGTATTTTAATGCTATCTGTTCGGCAGAAAGGATGGTGAGAAAACCTTCCTGGAGGGCAATTGGGCAAAATTTGCATCAAGAACTTAAAACTGTAATCCCACTTCCAGTAATTTAATAAGCAAAAGTACCATGATATATGTACAAGGATGTCATTGTGATATGTATAATTGTGAAAAAGGGCACACACAACAATATGGAAATGATTTCAGATATGCCCATATGATAGGGCATCATACTATTAAAATATTTAATATACTATTAAAATGACATTTTGAATATTTAAAAATACAAGGAAATGCTTAAGATATTAAGTAACCCACAGGATATGAAACTATATACAGTATTACCCTTTTAAATCCTCACCCAAGGATATTTTTCCATTTATCTTCAGACAGAGTTTGGCAGGGGGAGGGGGACACATTCATGTGAGAAAGGCACATTAACTGGCCACCTCCTGCATGACCCCAACAAGGGCCAAGGACCAAACCGCAGCTGAGGTACATGCCCTTGACTGGAATCGAACCCACAACTCTTTGGTCCTCGGGCCGACACTCTAACCACTGAGCCAAACTGGCCAGGGCTACCCAAATCTTGAAAAAAATTATATATTTAATTCATTTACATGCACAGAAAAAGGCAAAAACAATTATATATGGACTTGAGATAGAGAAGCAATTATAATTTATTTTTAAAAAATTATTATTTTTTCTTTAGAGAGACAGGGAGAGGGATAGATAGAAACATCGATGAGAGAGAACATTGATTGGCTGCCTCCTGCATGCTCCCACTGGGGATTTGGCCCACAACCTGGGCATGTGCCCTGACTGGGAATCAAACTGTCAACCTCTTGGTGCATGGGTTGACACTCAACCACTGAGCAACACCGGCCAGGCGATAATTTAATTTTAAAAAAATATTTTCATGACTTCCAAAGTTTCTTATTTTATATATAAACTTTTTAAAGAACCAGAGGTTAAGAGAACTGATATTTCAAATACCCATCATGTGGTAGGCACTGAGCTAGGAATTTCCCCAATTATCTAACCTCTATGGCAACCAGGAGAGGTAGGTATCTCAGTCCCTGTTTTATTGATGAGGAACAGAGGCTCTGCTGTTTAAGCCTGGTCTACTGGCCCAGGGTGCCCTGGATTCAAGCCCAGGACAATGCCTGTTTCCTGCTGTCCCACAGGCCTCACCTGCTGCAGCTCCCAGTGGGCCCATGGAAGGCTTACAGTGAAGGTCACTGACAAAACACAGCTGTGGACAGTTTACCCAAGAGCAAAGCTCAATTTTAGTCTCTAAACTTCATATCTTCCTCCCAAAGTATAAAACTGTTTTTCCTATACAAGAAACAGGCTTCATCATTACAAAGGCCTGAGGATCCATTCTGAAGCAGTTTTTATCCATGTGCCCAGCTCTACATGCCTGTGCCCTCTGAGCCTGCGGTGTCTGCTGTCCTGCTTATTGCTTTGGCATTTCGTCAGGCTGTGAGCAGAAGGACAGGGCAGAACTGCACACCCCCACCCCTTCCACCAGCTGGCTCCTTGGTCTCTGCCCTGGATACTAAAACAAACAGGCTGTGTGCTCTGGCTCCCTACTCAATCCAAGGGTGGGGGGAGAGGGAGGCAGTAAACATCCCAGCTATGTGAACAATCAGGAATATCTGGCAGCACATTTGATCTTTTGTAACTTTATTTCAGTCAAAGTCGGCCTCCAGGCAGCTGGGAGGCTCATCATACCCTAAGTCTAGTTCCAGGTACTGCCTTGGTGAGGGGTGCCCAATCCCCCAGCTGGCTCTGTTCCAGGTAGGTCCCCAGTGACACCAACTGCAAACTCTCATGGAAGCAAAGATGGAATTTTCCTCTACTGTTCCAAGGCTCTTCATCACTTCCTGTTCCTTCCCAGAGGCAGAGACAGGAAGTAGCTTGGATCTGGGGTCACAGCAAGTCACTGACATCCAGGATTGGAACGTGCTGCCCAGATCACCACTTTATCCTTCAGCACCACAGTTCCTAATTTAAAAAACAGAACTACCTAGGGACTTTTGTCTAGGAAAAGGGAGGAGGGGACACGGAGAATAGCACAGGACACACAAAATAACAATGGGAATGAACTGGGCCTTTTTGATGCAAACTCTTTAACCCTTTCTGAAGCTACCTAAGAGAACTGCATGTTCAAAAAAGCTGGAGAAATACTATGTTAACAATGTAAACAGATCATTACTGCAAGCTTCTTAGAACCTCACAGGGGCTCACACTGCCAAGGGGTTTTAATGAAAACAGTTTTCAAACAGTCAACTATAAACAGGATTCCATAGGCATTAGGCTTCCAATGAATACACTTTGAGAAGTGTTCCGAGAAGTGTTGCTTCTCTGAAAGGATCCTGAAAAGACAGAAAAGGCCCTAAACGAACTCCCCACCAGCCATTAGTCACCATCTTCAAAACTGTAGTGCTGGATCAAACAAGGTTGTACTCTCCTCTCTGAACTTCACCAAGGATTTATGGTATTTTTCCATTTGCTGGTCGAAGCCCCTGGAAGAGAACCTTGCCTGGAAAAAGTTCACTGGAGTCAGAAGGTATTTTAGTGCCAGGCCACTGAACTCAGGAGCCAGAAGAGGGACAGCCTTGCTGCGGTGAGAGGGGGGTGAACCCTGGCTCCTCCAAGTACGCTGGTTCCCTGAGACTGCTGAGCCATCGCTCTCTCCCCTGGGGACCAAGTGGGGCCCTACGCCAATTTCCTCCCCAGTTTCTGGAGACCTTAAGTGAACTGAAAAACCCAAGGGGGCAGTCAGTACAGTCACCATCTTCTGGGACTCAGAGAAAGGGACTGCCTCATCCCTCTCTTTGCTGCAGAGGTCTGGGGACAACTGCTTCCTGATTTGCAAAGGATGGTGGGAGGGCTGCTTCTCAAGGTTCCCACAGAGGTTCTTGTTATTAGCTTTTGAGTCCCTGTCAGCTTGAAATTGATCAGCCTTTTCCTCAAGAGATTCAAACATGACACCCTGTGTTCTTGGCCTACATTTCCTTTTTAACAGCCAGAAAACACTTGGTTTCCTAGAGGAGGAACTCATGTATTGCTGTACAGAGTCTGGAATCAGGGGCACCGAGAGCCTGGGGCCCAGGCTGTCCTGAAAGTAGTCCCTATACGGCTGTCGACTGACAATGGGCACCACCTGGCAAGGCTTTAGTGCTGTCACAAAGGCACGAAGCTCCGAGTAGGAGGAATGGTCAGAGTAAGGGATGACATGGATATTGGGGTGGGAGCTGGGGATTTTCCGGCTTGTGGGAAGGATAGCAATAGTAGGGTGGGTCTGGTTCCAACGCAGCATGGCAGAATGGCAGATCTCCGTGTGGTTCACGGCATGGATGCGGCCAGCTTTCTCCTCCACTGTGAACACATCTGCCAGGCCCAACAGCTGCACCAACTCCAGGCGACAAGGACTCAACACCACCCAGGTCTGAAACTCCAGGGCCAGCTGCTCCAGCAGGGACTCTTTCCCCAGGTGATAGAGTCCTGAATAACGGTAATGGAATTGGGGAAAGGAAAAGAATGAAGCTATTGGGGAATCCTAATAAATCAACCAAATAGTCAACAAAAATACACAATTTAACGGGGCAATCAGGGATGGGATGGCATTTGAGCTGAGATATATGGAAAACGGGGTAGGGGAAGTTAACACAGAATTCATTCATTCAGTTAAACAAAGGAAAGCATTTACCAAGTGTTAGACACTGTGAAAACAAAGTCTCAGTCCTCTAGGAGTGTAATCTACATGGGCACCCAGAAACCATGTGGTTAAGGGCAACTTTAGAGGCATGCACACAGTATTATGAGGGCACAGAAAAGTATCTTCCAGTTGATGGAGTTAGAAAAAAGTTTCCTGAAAAATGACAACTGAGCTAAGTCTTAATGGGTGGGTCCAAGTTAACCTGGCAAGGGAAGGGAATGGCAGAGAACATTTTAAGAGGGGTCAGTTTGGTGTTACTAAAGTACAAAGAAGGAACTGGCAAGAAATAACACTAGACCTTCAATGAATAATTAGATAAAGAAGATAGGGTACATATATACAATGGAATACTACTTAGCCATAAGAAAATATGAAATACTGCCATTTGCAACAACATGGATGATCTTGAGTATATCATGCTAAGCGAAATAAGTCAGATGGAAAAGGACAAGAACTATATAATTTTACTCATAAAGTGGGATATAAAACAGAAGAAAAACAAACAAACTCATTGACGCAGACAATAAACCTGGTTGCCAGAGGGGTAGAGGGTGTGGGGAGAGGAGGAAAAGGGAATCAAATATATGGTGACAGAGGGAGACTAGATCTTGGGTTGTGAGCACACAACGCAATATACAGATGATGTACTATAGATTTGTACACTTGAAACTTGTATGTTATTAACCAATGTCATCCCTATTAATTTTAATATATATATATATTTTTTACCCTCACCCGAGGAAATTTTTCCATTGATTTTTAGAGTGGAAGAGAGAGAGGGAGAGAGAGAAAGAAACATCGATATGAGAGAGACACATCAATTGGTTGCCTCCTGCACAACCCTGACCAAGGCTAAATTTAATTTTTAAAAAATGACACTAGAGAGGTAAACTTGGACTTCATTTTATAAGTAAAGGGGAGCCACTGAAGGGTCTGAGGAGGGAAAATGGCTCATCCTAACCTTAACAATAACATGATCAGGGCAGGCAGGGCTTTCAAAAAGATACTGTAGCAACAGTGTGATTCAACACCTTGGAGAAGACACTGGAAGCAGAGGTACCAGTGAAAAGGCTCACACAGTACTTAACAGAAAAAGATGGAGGCCTGAATTTGAATAATGTGATGGTAAGAGACACGGAAATGTGTTTAATAGTTTTTCTCAGACCTTTTGTGGAGGTATATTTCAAATCCACAACCAGATTGTGAACTTTAAAGAACTTATAATTTTATATCTACATTATTCCTATGGTTCTAAACCTTACTCTTTATTTATTTATTTATTTATATTTTTTATTAATTAATTAATTTATTTTTGTTACAGATGTTTCTCCTTTTTCCCCCACTGATTCCCCCCCACCTCCCCCTACCCTGTCCCCAGCTTTGTTGTCCATGTCCATTGTTCATGCATACATGCATATAAGTTCTGTGGTTTATCTCTCCCCCACCACCCCCTCTTCTGGGGATTGTCAGTCTATACCCCACTTCCACATCTCTGGGGCTACCCCATTCCTCAGACTGTTATGTTCATTATATTCCACAGATAAGTGAGATGTGATACTTGTCTTTCTCTGCTTGGCTTGTTTCGCTTAGGATAATACTCTCCAGGTCCCTCCATGTCGTCTCAAAGGATAAGAGATTTTTCTTTCTTACAGCTGCGTAGTAGTCCATTATGTATATGTACCAAAGCTTTTTTATCCATTCGTCTACTGGTAGACATTTGAGCTGTTTCCAGATCTTAGCTATTGTAAATAGTGCTGCTACAAACATGGGGGTACATATATTCTTTCTGATTGGTGTTTCAGGCTTCTTAGGGTATATTCCTAGAAGTGAGATCACTGGGTCAAATGGAAGTTCAATTTTTAATTTTTTGAGGTAACACCATATTGTTTTCCATAGTGGCTGCACCAGTCTGCATTCCCACCAGCAGTGTACTAGAGTCCCCTTTTCTCCACACCCTTGCCATCACTTATTGTTTGATGATTGGTTGATGGTAGCCATTCTGACAGATGTGAGGTGATACCTCATTGTTATTTTAATTTGCATCTCTCTGATGCTTAGTGATGTTGAGCATTTCTTCATATGTCTCTTAGCCATTTGTATGTCCTGTTTGGAGAGGTGTCTATTTAGTTCCTCTGCCCATTTTTTTTTTTTTGTCCTCACCCAGGACATTTTTTGTTCAGATAGAGTGGGAGGGAGAAAGAGGAAGAGAGAGAAAGAGAAACATCGACGTGAAAGGGACACATCGAGTGGCTGCCACCTGCACGACCAACCAGGGCCGGGAACAAACTGCAACTGAGGTATGCGCCCTTAGCGGGAACCGAACCCGGGTCTCTCTGGACCGCAGGCCGACGCTCTAACTGCTGAACCAAACTAGCCAGGGCTCTCTGCCCATTTTTTAATTGGGTTCTTTTAAACCTCACTCTTTAGGCACAAACGTAGCTGATTTTCTTTTCTCTTTCCCTATCCCCCCACCTTTTTTTTTTTTATACCTCTTCTACGTCCTTCATTACTAGACTATAAGCCCTAATATTATCTTTCTATCCCACTGCTTATCAGAATGGTTGGCACATAGTAGGGGTTTATTGTATATTTGCAAAATTAACTAAGCCCTGCTACAGCACCCTCCTAGCTAGCTGTGCTTCTCTGGGAAACTCTGCAATACAAATGCCAAGAATAGTAGGACTGATAGTTCTTCATGAGCAGTCAAGCCATCCTGAGAGTAAGGGATATTTCTCAATTTGGTAGTCACCCTGGAAGGTATACAATTTTTCAATGCCTTTGTTTAACCCTACTTTAAAACTCCTTTCAAAGTTGGGGCACCTCCTTTTAAAATTTTCACCATGGTGGCATGGTGAATTTTGGAAACAATAAAAAAAAATCATTTAGAACGAAACCTATTATATTTTTTAAAACAAGAATTTATTTTCATAAACTATCTCAAAAAAACAATTCCAAAAGAAGAGTCCCCAAAATATTTTGTACTCTTGTGGAATCAATAGAACAAGCATACAGGTAGCTTTTCAAGGTACCTACTTTTAAGCACAGCACTCACTTGAATATCTACATACTGATACATTTCATTCACTCATATAACAACTATGAAACACCTCATCAGGTATTAATCTAGGCATTTGGGATATATCCATAATTTTAAAAAAGAGCCCTGCCATTGTGGAACTTACAGTCTAGTGGGGGAGACAGATAATAAAAACTAAATACAATACATACGTAAATTATGGAACCCACTGTAAGGCTATGAATGCAATATTGTTCTTCTCCTACATAGGGTTCTTTGTCCTAAGAGCAATGGTTGGTTGCTTTTAGGATCAAGTTCAAAAGGTCTTACAAGCACTTCAGCCTCCCCTGCCTTTCCAGCTTCCTCACCCACTGTGCGCCTATTACACCAGCTGCTGCTCCTCTGTTCCACAAACACATGAGGCTTCTTCCCACCTTCAACCATGCTCTCAAGGAGTTCATGTGGGGGTGAGGGGCAAGGAAAGTGGGAGGTAGACAATAAATAAAAAGCAACAGCATATTAAAACACAGAGTACATTGGAAGGTAATGAGTGCAATGAAAAAGTTGAATGGTTAGGGGATCAGGAGTTGGGAATAGGGGAGTAGGAATGGCGGGCAGATGGCAATTTTAAATAAGATGGTCAAGGTAGGTTTCCTGGAGAAGGGGAGGTCGGCATAAAGACTTGAAAGATGAGAGACACCTACAAAGAACCTAACAGCACTCCCTATGAGTGAGAGCAAAAGGAAAGAAAACCACTTACCAATCTTTACATTATGATGTGGGTGCTTTCGAATGAGTTCCACAATCTGGTGGGCAGCTTCTTGCTGAGAAGGAAGAACCAGCTCTGGGTTGCAATTGGTGTTGTCTAGGTATAAGGTATGGATCTGTTTCCCCACTCTCAGGGCTGGCTCCTTTAGCATGGACGGTGTGTACCGAAAATCACCTGGGGGCAGAGTCAGAGACAAAAGGATAGAAGACAGGTAGGTCTCCCTCCTCCAACAACAAATGGGCATTTGCTTTGTGGCTCTTGGAAAATCTGGAGCCTGGCACTGAACTAATACACATAGTATAGCTTTCTTGTGGGAATGTTTCTATCCTGCTCCTTTAGAAGGTCTGGACCCTTAAAGAGGGAGAAATCAGTTCAAAAAGGGTTCATGTTGCCCTGGCCAGTTTGGCTCAGCAGTTAGAGCGTGGGCCGGTGGACCAGAGTCATGGGTTTGATTCTGGTCAAGGGCATGTACCTTGGTTGTGGTTCAGTCCCTGGCCCTGGTGGGGGTTGTGTGGGAGGCAACCAATCGATGTCTCTCTCTCTCTCCTCCCCTTCACACTCTATATCTTAATATCCTCAGGTGAGGGTTAAAAAACAAAAAAGTGTCAGTGCTCATATGAGATGAAGCCAAGCTTCCAGACTTCTTTTTTTATCATTATTAAATTTATTGGGGTGACACTAGTTAATAGGATTATATGGGTTTCAAGAAAAATGTGGAACGCTTCATGAATTTGCTGCTCATTCTTGTGCAGGGACCATGCTAACCTTCTCGGTATCGTTCCAATCTTAGTGTATGTGCTGCTGAAGCGAGCACTCCAGACTTCTATTATGCGTAAAGGCTGCTCAAGAAAGTAATATATAGGCTGAGAAAGTAGGAGGGACCCCTCGGGAGGCCCACCTGTATACAGGATGGTTCCAAAGTATCCTTCAAAGAGAAACATGACAGAGCCAGGGCAGTGATTGGCATCTATCAGGGTTACAGTCATGGTCTCTCTCCCAATTTCATCTAGAGGCAGGACGTGGCTCTCACCAACCTCCAGGGCTCGGATCCACTGCTTAGATACCTGAGGAAACAGTAGGTCATATCAGTGAACACAGACTCCACTTCTTGATATCCCCTAAACCAGGGGATATTCCTTTCCTGAATCAGGGAAAGCTAACCAAATGCTGAGCCACCCTGAAGCAGAAGCTGTAATTTGGATTCCCAAACAATGCCCCGCCCCCTTCCTTCTCCCTCTCACCACCCCACCTTCTGTATTATTTATTTATTCCTAATGCGAGGACATTTTTCTATCTATCATTAGATAGATTGGGAGGGAGGGAGAGAGAGAGACAGAGAGAAACATCGATGTGATAGAGCCACATTGACTGGTTGCCTCCCGCTGACCTGCCGACCAGACCAGGGCGGGAGGGAACCGCAACTGAGGTACCTGCCCTTCACCAGAATCGAACCCGTGACTCACTGGTTCTCAGGCCGACGCTCTAACCGCTGAGCCAAACCGGCCAGGGCCCTCTGGGCAGTGTTAAATTACGAGTCCAGAAAACAACCTAGTCAGCGATTATCAAACTTTCTTGATCATAACAATCTCTTGAGGGCACCTGTTTAAAAAAAATCCCACCAGATTGCCAGGACCTTCACCGCCTGTATCTACCGAATCAGACAGGGGAGAGGGGAGGCGGTGGAGCATCTCTCTCCAGCACATTAGATGGATTCTTTTTTTTTTTCTTTTTGAGTTTTTAAATATGTTTTCATTGATTTTTTAAAAAAATTAATTAATTTTTGTTACAGATGGATTCTTTTGATGAGGGAAGTTTGGGAAACACTAGCCGAGCTTATGTTAAAAGGAAGGAAGTTTCCTTCGCTGGACTAAAAGATCCCCCAAGTCCGCCGGCTGGAAGCCACACTCGTGTCCCGGCTAACGATGCACTTCGGGGTTCAAACAGCTCCCGACGGTAACAGCCAGTCCTCCCGGCCCTACTCTAGGCCTCCAAGGCTGAGACGGTGCCACCCAGACGCCTGGCCCAGGGGAGGCCGACTCCAGTCCCCGTACCTGCAGGCGCCGGTGCAGGAGGAAAGCCGTGACTGGGGAGCAGTAGAGGGGCCGCGCCCAGGTGCTGGACAGCCCCACGGTGTGGTCCGCGTGCATGTGGGACAGGAAGAAGAGCCGCGCGGAACCAGCCCGGCGCAGGCTCCAGAAGTCCACAGCGATGGGCGTGTGGGGGATCAGCACCCCGTTCATGGTGGCGGGCTGGAGACAGCAGTGGGACACGCATGGAAAGGGCTCCGGCGTGAGCCTCCTGCAGCGGCCCTGAGAAAAGTCCCGCGGGGGCCAGCCCAGGGCAAGAGACCCTGAGGGGGAAAGCCGGCCAGGACAGGTCTAGGTTCCTCGAGTGGGCAGAGAAAAGAAAGAAGTGACCGTGCTCTGGGAAGTCCGGGGTGAACTCGCACACTGCGGAAGCCGCTCTGCGGAGCGTCTTCCCGTCCCGCGCGCGGGAGCCGGCCGGGCCCACGGCCGAGCCTCCACTCAAAGCGCGCGCTGCCGGCGGAGACAGGCCGAGGTAGCCGACTCCCGATTGCCCGCCGCCGTCCCGCCAGACCGAGCCGCCGGCAGCGCTCCGCGGCGAGAGGCTGGGGGAAGGGCGGCCGAAGGCTGCGGCCCAGGTTCCGCTCCGCGCTCACTAGGAGGGTGAGTGGCAGCTGCTGGGCGTGGTCTCTGAGGAGGAGGCGGGACTTCCGCGGAAAGCGTGTCAGGACCTATCCTTGATGGCGGCCGCGTGGAGGCGCCAGAAAGGCTGGAACTGAGAGGGTGGGGTCTGCGGACTGTCGTCTGAGGGACTGGAAATCCCGCCGAGGGCTTGAAGGTAGAGAGATCTGTGGGCGGAGGGAGCCTGCCGGCTTGTCCCGGGGATGGACCCCAAGGGCTTGCGGAGGTGGGGGGCTCGCAGGTGCCAGGCCCTGGGGAGGCCACGGCTGCGGCTCTAGTCTCTTCACTGGCCCTTCCTTGCCCAGGTTCCCTCGTCGGAGCGTTCGGGAAGATGCCGTACCTCGGCTCAGCGGACGTGGTGAAGGAGCTGAAGAAGGCTCTGTGTAACCCTCACATTCAGGCTGACCGGCTGCGCTACCGGAACGTCATCCAGCGAGTGATTAGGTACCAGCGCCCTCACGCCCCGCCGCGGGCCGCGCCGGAGCCGGCTGCCCCCGAGAGGGAAGGCGCCTTCCCACGCGGCAGTGCTGGGATTCGGGCGTCCTGCTTCTCGGGTGTGCCATCCGGTCTCCCCCGTGAGGCTTATTTTCTACCTCGCTTACTCGGCTGGGTGTTTGCATCCATATCTTGAACTTAAACTGCTGACTCCCAGACCTGCAGCGTATCAAGTCCAGACCTTTTTTATCTTCAGACCCACAGATCCTATTGCTTGCTTGTCATTTCCGCCTGAATGTTTCTTCAAAGACATGCAAAAGAGTACCTATATCCTTCCCTCTCCCCAAACCTGCTCTTCCACGTGTGTGCTTTGATGACTGTCGCTACCCAGCTGACCAAGCGTGGGAATCAGTCTTGATGACACCGATCTTCACTTCTCAAGTCAGATGGAGTCATAGTTCCAAATGTCCATCCTTTAAAAAAAAAAAATAGGTGCTGTAGCATACTAGCAGGTCACCTTGCCTCCTCATTTTAGGCAGAATGATTTTTCCAACATATGAATTTGAACATACAAGTCTGGCCTACAGCAGTGGATCACAGACTTTAGTATGCATAAAAGTCCCTGGCAGTGCTTTTTTTTTTTAATATAAAATTTTCATCCAATCCAGTAATTGTGATTTCAGTAGGATGGGGTAGGACCCAGGAATCTATATTTTAAAGAAATATCCCGTGTGAGTACTGTGGGAGATCATAGTTTGAGAAATGGTGATCTACAGAATAAAGTACAAACTTTTAATCATAGCACCCAAGGAATACTCTGCTAACTCAGCTACTGGCAGACTCTCAAAAGAACGTACCATTCTTGCTCAAAACAATGTACCGCATGGCATGTATCATTACCTATCTGCCACACCTGCCTGGTGAGTCCTGCTCATTCAGCTAAAGTAATACTTCCTCTGTGGAAGCCTTTTATGACTTCCTGGCAGTAGTAGACCTCTGGATTCCCGTTGCCCCATGTCTTCTGTTATAATGCTTATTTATTGTACTGTAATTAGTGGTGTTCCTATCTGGCTTCTTAGTAGACTATGAGTTCCTAGATATCTGAGACCATACCTTCTTCAAGATTATGTCCCCAGAGCATATCCCTGAATGTAAAAGCTGAATTTCACTGGAATGAATTGAGGAAAAGTGTTGAATAAATAGAAGAACGTTTATTGCAGGCCCCTGGGTGACATAATAAACAAGGTGGACCTGGTTGCTTCCCTCTCAGAGATCACAATGTAGTTGGATAACTAGGACACATAAAGAATAAAACCCTCCATTGAAAGTTGGGAATTATGTGTTTTCACTTCTACCTGCTATGTGTGTCGGTTTCAGGCACATGACTCAGGGCGTGGACATGTCTGGTGTTTTCATGGAAATGGTGAAGGCCAGTGCCACTGTAGATACTGTTCAGAAGAAGATGGTTTATCTCTACATGTGCACATATGCTCCTCTGAAGCCAGATCTGGCTCTCCTGGCCATCAATACACTGTGCAAAGACTGTTCGGACCCCAACCCGATGGTGCGAGGGCTGGCACTACGGAGCATGTGTAGCCTCAGGTGAGCACTCTTCCCTGTTACTCAGTGGCTGATGAATTTAGGATGTCAAAGAGTAGGTTTTCATTTTACTATATTTTATTTTTTCCATCACCATTTATCCCCTCTAAACCTCCCCCAATCCTGCCCCCTCTTCCCCTGCAATCACCACACTGTTGTTCATGTCCATGAAGGGGTAGGTTTTTAATGATGACAATTTATTTGAGCTCCTTTATCCTGGGAAAAACACTATTGTAACCTGGAAAATTGCTTTGGCTTAGAAAACTATCATATGGGTTCAATAGAGGGAGTTTTTCATCTTTACTTTAGGTGAAATAGTTCTAGTTTGGGTTAAAAATTTCTAAACAGTGTGTGTGTGTGTGTGTGTGTGTGTGTGTGTTTTGCTGCCTGTACAGCATAATTCCCAATGAAAAGTCAAATAGACTTTTTTAGTTTGGCAGCAGCTTTCTCCAATTCATGATCTGATAGATGCACATTCAGACATTCACTAAACCCGCTGTTAAGTTAGTGGGGGCTGAATTGTGTCAAACCTAGGATTTCAGGATCTGACTGATTCCAGGATATGTTGCTTAGGATGCCTGGTGTGCAGGAGTATATCCAACAGCCTATTCTCAACGGTCTGCGGGATAAGGCTTCATATGTCAGGAGAGTGGCAGTCCTTGGCTGTGCCAAGATGCATAATCTTCATGGAGACTCTGAAGTGGGTAAGTTTCAGTGTAATCCATTCTAATCAATATTTATTTGTGCCTGCATTATATGTATGACTTTGTGAAAGATTATGTAGCTTTGGTAGAAAATAATAATGTGGCCCAGTTTCTGTGCATGTCCCTTGACGAAGGATTGCAGGGCTTGATATTTTCTGAGAATAGAGGAGTCCTTTCTTTGGGGCTCAGGTGAGATCCTTTGCCTTAGCTACTTAAAACAACTTGGAGATGGCAATTTTTTGGCCTTGACTTTGTATTGCCTTTGTGATTTTTGTAGCAGAGAAGTTCAGCTTTGTCTGCTTGGAGCTATTACTCTGGCTCTATTCCCGTGACACTGAAGCTTTTCTTCTTTATCTGAGGTCTCTCTTCTCTTTTATAGATGGTGCTCTGGTAAATGAATTATACAGTTTGCTGCGTGACCAGGATCCAATTGTGGTGGTGAACTGCTTGAGGTCTCTAGAGGAAATTCTGAAACAGGAAGGAGGTGTTGTCATCAATAAGCCCATCGCCCACCATCTCTTAAATCGGTTTGGATGCCTCATCTCAGTGCTCTTTTTATTGTGATGAGATCTTCATCCTAGTGGAATCTTATTGATGTGTTGAGTTAAGGAAAGATCTTGAACAACTTCTGTAGAGTAGTAAAGAAAGTTAATCATAACTATTAACTTCCTCATATCTCATTGAGAGAATTTCATTTGCCTTAGTTCCTTTCGGTGATACAGAGAGATGGCGGAACTATCCTGTGGGGATAGGTTCTGTCCTCCTCTACAGTCATTGTGTCCCTCAAACTAAGCCATTTATGCTGTCTTAAAATGTAGTGGATCTGGAGCTAGGGTAAATTGATCATGACCGTGTCTTTGGTTTTAGATGAGTTTTAGAATTTAAAGTCTAAATAGTATATTAAAAGGATAATTTGATTTTGACACAGCCTATTTTTAAGAATTCTACCTTTATTATGATGGACAGATGTCTGGTGACATGGCAGTAGCATGTAGATGGTCCTAATTTTATTGCTAAAATAGTACTTTTGTTATCTTTTTTGGATAGAATGTCCAAACTGGATCAATGGGGCCAGGCTGAAGTATTGAATTTCCTGCTACGCTACCAACCCCGCAGTGAGGAGGAGCTGTTTGACATTCTCAATCTGTTGGACAGCTTTCTCAAGAGCAGTAGCCCAGGCGTGGTGATGGGAGCCACCAAACTTTTTCTGATCTTGGCAAAAAAATTCCCCCATGTACAAACGGATGTGCTTGTGCGAGTCAAGGGATCTTTGCTGGCTGCCTGTTCTTCAGAGAGCCGAGAGCTCTGTTTTGCTGCCCTCTGTCATGTGCGCCAGATCTTGCATAGTTTGCCAGGTCACTTTAGCAGCCACTACAAAAAGTTTTTTTGCTCCTACTCGGAGCCCCACTACATCAAGCTGCAGAAGGTGGAGGTGCTGTGTGAGCTGGTGAATGATGAGAATGTGCAGCAGGTGCTGGAGGAGCTTCGAGGTTACTGCACTGATGTGTCTGCTGACTTTGCACAGGCTGCCATCTTTGCCATAGGTAGGTGTCTGCTGCTTTTTTTTTTTTTTTTTTTTGGAGAGCCTACA